ACGTAACCGTTACGTGAACAACTTAGACTTCCATATGTGAACAGAAAATGCATTTGTGACCGTTTAAAATGGGGATGTGATTTAAAAAGAAACGCTAACGTGATAAGTCATTCTCTCTCTAAGAAATTTTTAGAGACAAGTGCGATCGGAAAAAAAAATATTCACCGCGTGAGTTTTCCAGTTCGCAACAAGCAGTTTTAGATACGCGATCATTACATGAGAATTTCATGATGCCGAGATCATGCATGAAGCGTATTTTTCGAGCGTTTCAGACCGGTAATATTCTGATGATATTCAACTAAATTTTTCTAGAATAAAATATTATGCACTTAACGTCACTGCGGTATACCATGACGAATATACGACAGAAAATCCAGCAGAGTACACGGTAAATACGAAAAACAAACTACAGCAATATATGCAACATGTAAACGATTGAAGGAAGCCTAATATATGGAATGGAAGAAAGCTGTCGGCCATAACAGAGTAGCCTTATATTTTTAATGATTATTTAATGCTCTTTAAAATTGCATGGCTCACTACGTAAGCTCGCTACTTCAGCTACTACATGGAAAATTATCGCGAAAATTCCATTTTGGAGTTCCATCATCTGCAATTTCATGACTGATGATATTATTTAAACAGAAAATCTGCCATAATTTACCACCATCCCTCTTTGTTTGCTAAGTTAAATAGGATTTCTGCCTCCTGAAAATTCTAGAATCTACAGGTCGTTTGCTGCGAGACAATAAAGAGTTATGGAAAGTCACGCAATATACTCCTTGTATTTGCATAACGATGTGTACAAATATTTCTAAAAGTGAATTGAGGAGAAAGAAAGCCTCTCAACATAGTTTAAATAAAGAGCGCTTCTTATCTTTTACATTCACGATATCTAGATAAATTCACTGAGGTGTGGAACACATTGGGTTGAAATAATTCATCACCCGAAATGTGGTCTGTGGTATTAATTCCAACATAAAAACGCGGTTGATGTTTAAAGAAAAATAATAATAAAAGAAAAAAAAATCGTAGAAAAGGAATAGCAAGGTTAGATAATTTAAGGATAGAAAACTTGTAATCAAGCAATAAACGGCATTACACGTTAGGACCTCGACGGTGACTTCGGAGTACGAATACAATTGTCTAGAATTTTAATCGTGGTCGGGAGTGAATCGTCATTACATACAAACCTGAACTGTCTATCGAGCTGCTCCGGGATATCGATCTGTAAGAATTCTGCTTGCGGACGTACTAAAAACAAAAGCGAACAAAACCATTACCATCGTACGAAAGTCTTACTTGAAAAACAGGAACGAACTGGGTGATTAAAATCTTCATTTGTATCATTGTTGTTGAAGCTGTTCGTGACATGACATATAGATTCTCGCCGTTGGGCACTCTCTCTCAATATGTCATGTTCATTTTGTCTTGACCTATAACTATTTCCTAGTTCGCTCACTTTCGAAAAGCTAATCTTAACTGTGACTTAGCAGAAAAACTTTAAGTAATTTTAACCAGCAATTTTAACAATGACGGCGGACACATTTAACATTGTTTAAACAGGTATATAAAACGCCTATGAGATATTTCTTAGCTAAGAGTCAAGAAAATTATAAACATCAGACGATGTAATTAAGAGAAGGCTCGAAAGCCTAACGAACAGCGAAGGCACGAGGAGCCCCTTCAATTTGCCAATTTGAAGGCGAGTAAAAAGGACCGTCGAGAAATGAAACGCTGCGGTTTAAAATCGTTGCTGTCTCACTCCCGATCTGAAAGTTGCGTGAGCCGACCTTGAAATATCATCATCGCATCATTTCCACCTTTCGCCGGATGCCAGTAGAATTACAATAAAAAACATTTCACTTACTCTTTTATTTTCATCCGGTTCAGGTTTGTTGGCCTTGGCTGAGTACGACTGAATGGCCACCGAGTTTTTCCGATTCCACATCGACATCTTTAATGAAATAATCCAAATCTTTAACAAAGGTCGCGTCGGAGCCCAACCGGCATCATGTATATTTCATAACTGTTTGGAGTTCAGTTTCCTTTTATAATGCATTATAATGGTTTACCAACCAGCTTCTGTATTGTCTCATGACGTTGACGTTGCCGTGACAACCTGGGCTGGTATTGGACAGAGGCGTAAGGCAGAGAGTTATATATTGTGAGCAGACAACAATTGAAAAATCCAATATTAAAAGAGGCTTTTAATCATAAACAGTGTGTTTCAACCTGTATATGTGTGTGATGTATTGTTTATTTGAGTGATAACATTCTCGACACGGTCGACTTAGTTGCCAAAGGACTGGATTACGTGGAACGAAAGTTTGGGTTTCCTTCCGTTTCAGAACTTCGTTTTCACGACAGTTTCAAACTTAAGTTTACAGGGTTGCTTTTTAAATCGCAAAGTCTGAAATAAACGGTGCTAGTATCAGAAAGATTGCCTCTTCATCTTCAAGATAAAATATCTTGCACTTTGGAGTCATAAAATCAGACTTACAATTCTTCAGGCATCAGTGGATATGAACAAGGGACATTGTTTTGAGGTTAAGAAATGGATTTCTAAGAGATCATGATTGATAATCCCCTGAGTGTCAGAATTTCTTTGGGAAACTGTAGAGATGTTAAAAAAAATTCGTGCAGAACACAGCCAATAAAAAAGGTGATATGTTGTGTGTTTCCAGCAGTTAAGTGCTGGTGGCAAAAAAATTCACTTCAAAATGAACTAATTAACTAATATCAGTAACTTTTAACCACGACTCCTTAAAAGAAGGATTACTTGTATCAACATCGTTGACGACCTCAATGGTATTTTTCTTCAGCAACCACAAAGACATAAAATAATCTCGCCGCATGGACAATTGCTAATGCAGTTGGGTAGATTACCGAGTCTGGCGTAAACGGGATTAAGTTATTTACACACTCAGACAGTATTGTGTATTATTATCTACAGCTGTGGAAAAAAATTTCCTGTTTCAGCCGCACGCTTCGTTTTAGTTAATAACTGAATATACCGCGACTAGCGAGAAATATAATGAAACTATGGCTGTCAACTTATTACCTTATTTTTTATAATCCTCTTTTTATTTTTCTGACAAACCAAATTAGTTTGGTGTAAAGTGCAAGTGACCAAAGGAAACGCTTTTTTTAGCAGTAGTATTCTTAAAAATGTGCAAAGAGAAACCCGTGTGCCCACATATAATATCCAGGAAACCATTTGTGAACTTGAAAAATTCAGCCTTCAAATCCCAAGTTGGTTACCTAGCTGCCTTCCCGTCTTCAATCATCCGTTTTCTTATTATTTTTTCCTCTTTTTTTTCAGTTTAATCCCTAGGCCCATTTTATGTTTTTCTAATGTGCCAATGCAATATTTAGGGTTCCTCTCGAGTTGGAGTTAATTTTGCATGTCCCAGAGGAACCACGCAAAACATCTTCCCCCTTTCACTTAGATATCAATTCTACCCACTTAATTCCTGCCATACGCTTCTTTCGATTTTACCTCATATAATTTGGTGTCAGATAAATAGAGAAAAATCCACGGGCGCACGTAGATATGGAATTTTCACTCGATATCTCACGAGTGAGCGCAGCTAACAACTGAGATCGAAGAGAAATTAATTCCATAGTTACAAGCAACTAAGTTTATTTATTCGGCATGAATATGAACAGCAAAGGGCTTTGCTGACATAAAAAGTCGACTTTGTCAATGAATGAGCTACGCAAATGGTAAGTGGCACACCAGCAGCTAAATGGTGATATCAAGAGAAAATAATTTTGTGATATCGAACACATGTAAAAAAATTTCGTAATTTCACACCCGTGTAGTTACGACTCGTTCTCAGGGCTGGAGATCCTTGTAAACACCTTAGTTTATATAATAAAAAAATGTATCCACCGTTGATATTTCTCTATCCCCACACTACCTTTCTGCTTCACCTTGGGAATGTATTGAGACTTTAAGGAGAAGTTACCTATTGATCTCTCCTGGGAGTGAAAGGATGAAATGTGGAAACAGATTTTCGGCTGACAGGGGCATGTACATGAAGAGACCAAAGAGCGTCTGCTTTATAGCAGATTCTTAACATTTCTTGGCTAAGTAACAACTTAACATTGAATGGAAAGAACAATTCACGTTTGCTTAGTCGTATATAAGGTGGATCCTTTTGGTAAAATACTCTTTTCTTAATCCTATTTCGTGCCCAGATCGTACTACACTCTCCGTTACAGCCAACCGTGGGAAACATGGAAACTAGTTACTGACGATCCTTAGCGGGAAACGCAAACACAGAAGTAACCAAAAATTAAACTTTCGGAATGAAAAGCTTTCTCTTGCAGGAAATTAAAAACTGAGCGTCTGGAAAAAAAGCTAATCTAATTCAGTATACCCTAATATCCCTCTTGCGTGCGCGCACAAACCTTCCATTTTTTTAAGGGTTCTGTTCCCTTTGTTCATCGCTGTATTGCTTAGGAAATCACAATACGAAATACTTCAAATTTCGCGTCAGTTGCAGGCTGTCAAGGAATAGTCCGGTTTATCTTGAAATGTGGTTTGAGTAAATTAGGTCAAACTCCTTTATAACGTGCAGATGAATATCCACCGACAAGTATAAACCACTCGACGGAAACCAACTTTAATGAAGTTTCTTTCGTCATTCATTAATTTCGCTGTATACTATATTTTAATGACACATAGTGCACTCTTCGATTAACTTTCATAAAAACAAAACCAAAGAAATAATAAAAGCCAATCAGATCGAATAAAAGAAAATGCCATAAGGATCCAATGAAAACTCAAAGTAAAAACAAGCAAGCTGCCTAAAGCGCGGGAAAACGCGGGCGACCAAGGCGTGATTGGTTTTAGTTTTGCATCTAATTGGTCGAGAGAGTGGCGCGAGTTTTCTGGACCAATCACGGTGCAAACCCAGTGCAATCTCGGATTATTTTCGACATTTAATTGAAAAGTGCTCTTTACTCAGTCAATACTAAAATAAACGATGTTTAAAGATAATGGCGTTTATTTTTTATGACATTGGGTTGAAGTGAAGTGGGTCAGAATGTGCATCAAACATCGTCGAAAATACATCACTCGTCAAAGACATAATTTGACACAGTTTCTTTCGTCATTCATTTAGTTGGAGATCGAGGATGTTAAATCTTATTTCTTCAGCCAAATAATAAACCACCGTTCTAATGCCAGCGGCAGAACTTTTCACACAACGTCACTCTCTTAAGTGCATGACGGCATGTTTTTTTTTTTTTGTCGCTTATTCTTAACTTCCACTCACGGCTCTATTTTCAGAGGCAACATCTTCAGATTCGCTCTTGATAGTCTTTTCTTCGTTTTCAGGAGAGTTCGCTCTAGTTTCCTGATAGTAACGCAGTCTTTCCTAAGAAAAAACGAATAAACGAAGATCTCAATTAACGTAACGTGGCCAATTAAATTAATTAAAGTAGTTATCTGACAATAATCCACAATGCAACAATATTTCAAGTGCGCATTCTAAGAAATATTGGCATAAGCATTTTCCTGTTTAATGAAGTTTCGAGACAAAGCAATGAAATTGGAAAAACTGGGGCATATATTGAAACGATATTTTTGTTTAGTTGCAATTCTCTAAAATATTGGAACCTTAAAGCTCTCAGATGCGAACATCTTACAAATCACAGCAGTTGACTGCACGTATACAGCACGAACTGCGAATATGATTCTCATCGCTGATTTGCTTTTGAGATCCTCACGATGTGATTGGTTCCTAGCACGAGGACAGAGCATGCGACACAAATACTTCCTCGCACGTAACATTCTTTAACACCAAATCTGGAACGAGGGGGAGGATAACACTGAGCCAGTTTGAAATGCGGAAAAAAACTAAGCAAAGATTGCAAAGAAGAGAAATACAAGGAAGCAATGTTGGCACGAAGAAATTACAATCAGTGTTAGGCTGAGAGATTCACCCAAACTATGCCAAGCACGTCATCAACATCAACAACATTAAAAACAATTAACCCGTGATTCGAACTAAGACCTGGAATGAATCGAGCGTCGGAAGCAACACGGTATTCCATCGGTTTTGTTTTACTTCGCTCAGTGATCTGAACTGACAAACTTTCCCTGCACCATCCTCTCCGCCAATCAGGTGTAAAGCTATACCCAAGCGCGACCGTGTCATTAGAATTTTCCGCGCTTTACCCTATTCCAGGCATTCAGTTGGCAAAACGGAACGGAATTGCAAATGGCGGAAAATGCGAGGGAGGTTTGGGTCGGGCGGGGCTTTATTACGCGACCCGACCCAGTCTTTCCTCGGTTTTTTTTTTTTTTTCAGTCAGCCGCTCCTATAGCGCTTTTTAGTATCGCGCTTCATTTTATACTAATACAACGCCTGGAACTACCCTAGCTTCTATCTCTGTTCTGGCTTGATTTTTTGAATACTTATATCCTTTTTTCTTTCCACAATACTCGATCAAAATGCGCTTTAAGCGCGCATAGCATGATTGAGGCTCGTTAAGCAAAAACCCCAGCAATACGATAGCCAATCAGAACAAAGAAAAAAGGAACCAATCAGAAATCAACGTGATTGACGAGCGAGAAAGAGGGAGTGACCAAGTCAATTCTTACCAATTCCTGGTTAGCTCGGTATATTTTCCGTTTTGAAAGGGTCCATTCGTTTAAAAGCTTTCGTTCCACTTCAAGTTCAAACTTCTGTTCATCCGTAAGAGGAGCGGCCAACCTACAGGTCAACAAAAGTTATAAATCAAATCCTCAATTCTCCTCACTGTATGCCTACATTACTCGGAGGTCAGTTGTGAGAGTTTTGTGTAAAGAAAATAAGTAACATTAGACCAAGAACAGTCTGTTCTATAAGACACAGTCCAAGATCAAACACCTCCGCGACAATTCGCCTTCGAGTTAAAAAGATTAGGAAGTTCTCTGAATATTTTCAAAAAATGTTTGGATAAACTACTTTCTATATGTTTGGATCGGATGACGGAGGCTATGATGCAATCGCTAATGTCATTTTCTCTGACAGAATGACTTAAAAGGGACAGCCTGCTGAGGTTGAAAATCACGAAAGAGGTGTTAGCACTCTAGACGCGGAAACAGGATAGTGAGGAGGAAGAAGTATAACACATATTTAACAAATAATAAATTTGAAAAATCTGTTCCAAAAAAATTTTTCAAGATGTTTAAGGCCTGGGTCAATTTTTTTAAGACTGACCCGGGATCTCAATCAAGACAAAAGAAGGTACATACAGTATTGCCAAAGGTTTTACTTCCAACATTCGACTCAGAGCAATCACTGTCCACAGCTTGGGATCTTCTGCACGGAGCTTTTTTACCTCTGCGGTCTGGCAGAAAGACAACAACGACATCGAGACAAATGTGAATTATTGATCATCATATACATGTGGCTCAATTGTTAAAATAAATATCAGCAGTGCCAAATGAAAATACTGCTTATTAGCTTTCATTGAGCTTTCATTTGGTTAAAAAAGAAGAAATAATACAATAATACAAAACTAAAGATTAAAGTTTTGTGCAATATCACAAAAGATTGCAGATTATATTACAACGCTGCAGGAGTTTGTCTGATTTAGTTCCGCCTCCCTTTTCATCTAATGTGTTATCGAGAGTGTTTGGAGAGTTTGTTTTTCATAAACTTACCATGCACATAGGTCAAGTTATGCACTCACTGACTATGGAAAGTTTTCGCTATTTTTAAGAAGACTTCAATATGGAATAAAAGTTAGCTAAAGAAATAGTCTCATCATAACCTCGCAGAGTCTGCGGGAAATATAATTTTATCGCGTATTGAGTAATTTGTACCTGCATGAATAGATAGAAAATGTGTTAATAAAGTTTTTATTATTGTTTTTATATAACAAAACAGTTAACGCAAATGGAACGAAGTAATAAAACGAAGTTATAAAACGTTACATCTTATTCGCTATATATGATTGCCGAAAACTTGTTGCCAACTCGGCGACTTTCGCTGCCAAATCAGTCTCTATTTTTTCCTTCCCGCTTTTGTGACCAAAATAGTGACAGCTTGAAATGTTGTAGTCTTTTTCATTACAAAGAAAGCATTAGTGTCTCGCAACTGGAATCCACCGGAATCATTCGATATTGCACAAGAGCGTCCAACATCGGAGCGTGCAAGATAAAACGAAGACGTCCAAAATCGGACAGGGGTGTTTAAAATTGAAAGGAGCTGTCCGAACACGGACGAAGGGTCCGAAATTGTACGATAGCGCCTGAAATCTAACGGAACTGTCCAAAATCGGAAATAGACGGAAATAGACGTTCCATCCGTTGTGATAAGATTTTCTTTAAATAAACCCAGTTTCTTCATCCCGCTTAAAGTTTACCAGGTTTTCCGTTAAGAAACTAGCTTCAATCGTCTGATTAAGGTTGATTTTCGGCATTTTTTAAATGTCCTACTATTTCTTCAAGCGGAACAGTTTTACTTTTTATTAATACAGTCTCGCTTTTGTTTTGACATCAAAATCTGTCCGTTGCAGGCATTCTGTCTTGTACATGGTTGCCATTTATATCATACATACGGCTATCTAGTTTAAATTTTTTCCTCATCAATTCGTGATTTAAAATTTTCAAAATAAATAAATAAAAAAATTAGGCAGTAATAATCTCTGGCACATACCATTCAGGACAGATGCAGCAAATTTGTGTGGAGGGGGGAAGGGATGAACTTTGATTCAGAAAACAATGAATATCTTACAAAAGCCTTAATAAGCTAGAAATACATCAAGTTGGGTAGTAATACACAATCCTGTCCTTGTGAGAATTTTGGTTTCAGAGAAGATAAAAATTATCCACAGTTCTGATGGGTAGGGTCCAGACCCCATGGACCTTTTTCCTGAACTTCCCTACCCCTCCCCTTCCCCATCTGCTATAAATAACCAACCTCTTCCTTTGTCAAATGATCTCGATAGTTTTCAGTGTAGTCGGTATCCTGGTGCCACCACACATGATAACCTATGTCCTGTAAGATAGTGATTACAGTAATCTTTATTACTACCTTTTATAAATGCTACCATAACAGGCTTTTATCACTGATGACAAAATAATATGTGATACTCCAAGTTCGTTTGAAAGAAAAACACATGCAGGGTGAAAGAGGCAACTGACATAAGGACTTCACCCTAATAACATATATGAAGGAAGTGTAGCAGAACTCTTTGAGACATTGACGTCCATGATTAAAAAGCACAAAAACAGGAGAGCCTGATGAACATAGATGTCTGCTGTTCACATTAATTACAGAAATTGAAAACCAACCAATCATATCTATCATATCTGAGCATAATGCTTTAATAAGGTGACATGTCACTTATCAACCTTATCATATTTCTCTATTAATGTGTGCATCATGATTGGTCAATTTAGCGGGCTGCATTTCACAATAAGGCCTGCAAAATTCAAAATTTGCTTGAATTGAAATGTTCCCCCCTCTATTTGAACCCTAAGATGTAATAATTATCTTTATAACCCTTAACTCCCAAGATATCATTGGTAATTCTCCTTACTGCCTGCTATATTGTTCTTGTGATGTTAGTTTGGAGAATTTAGTATTGGATCAACTAACCATCCCCTAATTAATATTTCTCTTTCTTTGCATCACTTGTCTGTTTGATATTGTATTGATATTGTAAGGAGAAATTCTGTCTTGGTCACTCATGGGAGTTAAAGGGTTAACCTTACTTTCTCAGACCATATTGTAAGTTATGAAACATTGGTTTTTGTTTCACATGGATTTATGGCCTATGTGCTTCACACTAGTGCCATAAATCCAGGCAGAAAAAACTTGGTCTGTAACTTATTGTACAAACCAAGGAAAACAAGATAAGTACATGATGCAATTGTTGCAATTCAAATCAGAACTGACTGAGTCATGAGACATACACAACTTTTTTTAAAGATATTAGGCTGATGTAACTGCCCATTGTTACCTCTGGCTTAAGCATTCATAATAACAGTAATAATGGCAATTTCTGTTACATTTTTAAAATTACAAATATAATTTAAGTAACAAAATACCTTTGAAAACTGTAGAGGAAATGGTTTGGCAGGATGGTAGCAAACGAACATGGTCTTATCAGCTGACATTGTTATCTTTGCTCTACAGAGAAACATAATCAACTCATATTGTGATTTAACAAGCTTTCTACCAAGCCTGTTAGATCTGAATATGAAAGAAATCTTTACAGTAATGAGTACTAATTAGACAGTAATGAAAATAAGGCCTGAAAAAAATTAAGGCCTGTACAAGATTTCAAACCATGATCAGTGTGATATGTGCAGTGCTCTACTAAATGAGCTAACAAGCCAACTGGGAGCTGGTCATTATGTTGGTTTCAAATAAACCCATGAAGTGATGAATACATGACTGTAAATATATGAAAATCATATATGTGAACTGCCAATTAAGAAATGATAATAAATAATGAAATACTTTAGCAGTAAAGAAATTTCCGCACAGTCCCATACTACTTTAAAACAAATCTGTTTTCCCAATGGCAATGTATTGTTTTTGTCATTGTTTTCTCTATCCAAGAACTGAATGCATAATGTAGGATGGGGCTGTGCGGAAATTTTACCTAGCAACAAACCTAACAAGCCAACTGGGAGCTGATCATCATGTTGGTTCGTATTAAACCCGTGAAGTGATGAATCAATGACTGTAAATATGAAGATCAGAGATGTGAACTGCGCTTTACAGAAATAAGGCCAGAAAAATAATGCAGGCCTGTACGGATTGTCCCTTTAATTCCCAGATTACCACAAGCCCAATCAGGCACTCTTACTTTTCTATTCGACTCTCTGTATCCGCAGTGTTCTCGAAGAGAGGACCTCTTCTTGTCGTAGTATACAAGTTGAGTTCTGTTGTGTCATTTTCCAGGTTAAATTCTGCTTGGATCTGTTTCTCCGATTTTGGTTTCTTCATTTCTAATAAAACATTCTTTCTTCTTAATCCAGCTTTTGCCCACGCAGGGACACCAACTGTATGAGGTGTTTTCTTTTTGCAAACTTGACTTGTTGAGAGATTACAGACGGGAACTAGAGATAATTTTCGAAGACAAGTTACGCAGAAGTAACGACCAAACATAGCTTAGTACCAACTTTTCAGTTAAACAAGCAACAAATTATTGTTAGATACCTCTCAATCCATGAGATTCTCTATAGAATTGAAGTACTCGCGACGAGAAATTTCCAAATGTACTCCTACTGGCGGCCATGTTGGGAATGGAAGGAGTGTGAGCGGTTACCTAGCTGTACCAAAATTGCATTTTCTAGAGGGGCTTGCCAGGGAAAAAAACAGTTCAAAACTTTTGAGTAATAACTCGCTTTAATTATGAACATTGGAATTTTTTCATAAAATTGAGTTGTTTCCATTTCTTTCACACCATGAAAATTTAATGAATTTGCGGAGGTTTCTTATCTCAAGTCTTTGTTGTGGCAGCAATTTCTGTCCCCACCCCACTGGAGTATATCATTGTCAGCCAAAGCGGGAATATATTGTGCTTTCAAGAATGTGAATGGGCAAATTTTTGCGTGATATTTGAAATTTCCTCCTCTAATGTGATGTCAAACCCAGACCAATGTATATTTATCAGTAATCTGTTATGATGGGGCAGTGTTTTGGAACAGAAGACGGAAGCTTTTTGCCTTTTCGGCAAAAGCGGGGCTATGATCGCTTCACAACATTCGCTCCGAAGAGCAAATGGTAAGTTTGAAGTTTTGTGTTTACAAAGCGCTTTAAAATCACATGTTTTTAAGAACTTAATGCGAAGCCAGTCAAGATACCTAATAGGAAACTGTGAACTGTAATTAAACGCTGAAATTATTGTTAAATGAGGTAAAAATATTGTTTACTTTAACCTTCTTGTGGATTTTGTACTCGTTCAAGTTTATTTGTGGGAACGAAACAAGCGTAAAATTATGCGCAGTTTTGATCGAAATTTCAGAAATGGAATACTTCTGAAATAGGCTTATCACGACGCTCAAGCAAGTATTGGCGTCAAATATATTTTTACAGTCAGGAATGTTTTTGTCTTTGTGGTGATAATTTGGCCCATAGCAAGTTCTGCTTTTCGACACTATGAATATTTAATTGCGAATAATGCTCTGAGTTTTTTTCATGTTCGTTAACATCATCTAGCTCTTGTAGTGCTAAATGCCAGGGTTATAACTTTGTAATCAGAGAAGTTTTGAAACAGAAACGTATGAAAAGAAAAATTAGCAAAATTACACAATTTGTAAAATCACTACTGAAGTCATGGTTTATATTTTCGCTTGGAAATATTTTTACGCTTATTATTTAGTTGTTGACGACTCAGACGGCCTGATACAGCATCTATAACTCAATGATTGCACGCTTCAAGCTAACAGTGTTAAGTAATGCTGATGACTTGAATATATCATTTTCAGGAGATACGCCGATGAGCATTTATTGACAGAAATACAGGATCCACGTTCTGATGATGAACTTGATTTATCAGGTGCATTGTTATATAGCAGAAATGTTTCTCTCAAGAATGCATGATTTTATCATTATAATAAAACTTTAATTGAGAGACGACTTTAACTCTGAACCACAGTGTATGTAAATTCAAGCTCTCTTGTTTGATTGAGATTTATTGCATTTGAAGGAAAAAAAAAAGGCAATTTATGTTTTTTACAAAAGGAGTTGTGGATTCCCAGCTGTTTAAATACCTACATGTGTCTCATGATACACTGTTGGACGTTTATTTCAAAACAGTCACTGATATTTTTCTTCTCTTGTTGGTTAAAGTGACAAAATAATTTACAAAAGAAAGTTCATAAAGGAATGGAAGGTCTATTACCTCTAATTGTGAAGGGTACATTTCATGGCTGGAAAGAGATTCAATTTTTTTTTTGGCAAATTTGAATCATTGTACCAATTTCTTGTATTTTCACCCTTAACCTTTCAACTCCCAAGATATGATTGTTAATTTTCTCCTCCAGCTGCCGCACATTTCCTTGTAAATTAGTTATGAGAATTTGGTGTTAGATCAAGATAGAAACTCCTACTTAATAAGTTTTGAGTACAGTCATTACCTATTTGCTATATAATGTGTGGATTTTATAGAGAGAAGTTACAGGTTAATCAGTGAACCCTTAGAAGTGAGTGTCATGTTATTTCTCTTTACAATATCTTTACATTATCTACCAAAATGGTGATGAGAATGGATGAATGTGGAAGTTAAGGGTGAGTCTAGATGTAACTCTAAATTCTCACAATCAATTTGCAAGAAAATGTTTGGCAGCTAAAGGGGAGAATTTTGAATCACATCTTAATAGTTTTAGGGTCAAACTATTTTGGAATATATTTTTTGTTTTAGATGTAAGGCGTCAAACAGGTCATGAACCAAATGGGCGACAAAACCCTCAAACCTCAGCAAATGTTAGGACAGGACTTAGACAAGAGAGGTATTTGAAGAGTTTAATTCCTTCCAATGAATTACAAGTGTAGTCTCCAGGTCTTAAGAGTAGACTTGATAAATTGGACTATTTAGCAATGAAACAAGATTCAAAATGTTGTGTACTGGAAAAAAGCATTGATGCTCTGAGACTGTTGGAAGTCTATGACCATTTCATGTATGACAACATCAAAAGTATAAAATGGGAAGCAGAGGAAGGGGAGAGGAGTCTGTAAAAGTGTTAAGCATAAGCTGGTTTGGGATCACTCTCAGTGATCTCTTTTTGATTTCCCTAATCCTTGTTGTTTTTTCAAAATTAATGATGAACTTACAGTACTGCTCAGAAGTAACTAGACAGTCTTGTCTTGAAACCAGATCCTCTAGTTTTGCCAACTGTGGATCGAGAATTGACGATCAAGGATTGAGTTTCAAGAGACTGTCAATATACTTTTTAGTGGTCCTGTAGTTGTCTAAATCTGCACCTCTTATGCTTAAATCAGTTACATACCTCTTCCTAGTTAAGTAGTTGTCAAGACAACTGCAGTACTGGTAAAAAGTAAGTCGATCCGCCTCTTGAAACTCAACCTTTGACCGGTGATTCTCAATCTGTAATGCTCAATTGTTTTAAGGATTGAGGATCAAGTTTCGTGTTGAGGCTGTCAACTTACTTTTGAGTGCTACTATACACCTGCCCAGGGTTTTTCAAAGCTAGGTTAAGATAACCTAGGGTTAGTGTGAAATTTTGATTTTAGGTCTGAAAGCTTTAAAAGAAAATTAATTTTAAATCTTTTTGCTTGTAATTTGATCATTGGATATTTAAAAAAGAATAGGGAAAATTTTCTCTGAAAGGCTTTTGAACAGAGAAATTAAAAAAACCTTGATTAAAAGTTAACCCTGGGTTATCGCTAATTGGCCTGCAAACAACTGGGCCCTGTAGTTTTCTGGACCCCATTCCTTGCCTAAATAGGTTCCATACCTCATCCCAATTAAGCAAGAAAGTTCCTTTCATTAAAACACTTTCTTTGTCCAATATGGCTGTGTCTTGGCATCTGGATTTTCTTTGCTTAAGTCTAGATCATCTACATGCATTGTTGATAATTACATGTTATTGACCAGGCAGGAGGTCTGTATGGGACAAAACTGTGCCAGAGGTCTTGAGTATTAGCTGAGGTCTGTGCTTGAGACCAGGGACCTAGTCTTTTCCCTCTCTCATCAACCTAGACTTGTAAATAACTTCGTTTTTTGTGCTGGTTTGCTTTTTTCTGCTTTGCTGCAAATGATGGGTCAGAATCATGGTTTATATTGTAAAAAGTTTGACTGGTTGCAAGGGCATAGTTAGTATATCAGAGTCGAGGATTTAAGATTCAAGCCTGCTGAGATGCTTCAGAAAAAATAACTTGATATATTTGAAAAAAAGGGTGCCTAACTATTGGCTTATTTTTGTTATCCTCTTAGTATTTCAAATTGTTTCAATTGAACATAAAAACAAACATAAAAGTGGCACCTGGAGTTAGGCAACTCAAATTTTGGAAGGGAAAAAAAAGTTTTTTATGAGGGAGAATTTTTATTTTTAATTGATTAATTCTATTTTTATTGATGCAGAAATAAAGCTAATATTGTTATTTATAAATTAAAGTAAATCAGAACTGAAGTCTTAAAAAAAATTGTTTTAAGTTGGGTGCTTCATAGAACAAATGCCCATGTAAACTCATTGGCATTGAAAAACTTTGAATCCTTATCAATAATTGAAAGGCTCAGAGCAAGAACGACCCCTTGATTTTTTGGCCATATCAAACAAAGTGTTCAGATAGTAGTTGAATTTTAAATGTGGACTTAGTCTTAATGAAGAGCATTTCAAATATTAAGCAATCAAATTTGCTCTGGCACTTTCTTAAAACCGTGAATTGGCTTTCTCTCAAAAGGTTGTTGTTAATCAGAACTGAAGTCTTAAAAAAATTTGTTTTAAGTTGGTTGCTTCATAGGGCAAATGCCCATGTAAACTCGTTGGCATTGAAAATGCAGAAAACTTTGAATCCTTATCAATAATTTTAGCATATCTAGTGGCTAACCATTCATATTTCATCCTACTCTGGCATTCACTGTACACTGATTCTTAATTAATTTATAGGCCAGAAAGATGGCAAGTGCAAGTTCATTGAATGATCCACCTCTTTTGGAATATAATCTGCATCATGCTGGCAAATATTAGAATTAAATATTATATTATTATTTGTAAACCATTGATGCAATTGCACTTGGAGCATTAATATCAAACAGGCATTTATGTGTGTGACTATTTTGATAGCCATTGTTAATGGTAGTGCCATTGGTGTGCAATGAAGGAAAATATTTGTGATCAGCAAAGCTGTATGTGCACTGCATGCCAACCAACTGCCAACTGCATAGGCTAGAGAAAAACTCACCCAGGAATGGCAGTTTTGATGTTGAATTTCATTGACAAGAAAACAATTTTGTAGTATTTGTATTAAGGGACTTTTGTAGGAAAATATAATGGTGTAAAGTTATTTATCGAGCCAGGTAGTTTCTGTGGCTTTTTATGCTGTAATGGATCAATGTCAGTATCTGATCAATTGTTCACCTACCCCTCCCCTAACCCAACAAAATGCAACTGATAACTTAAGTTTAAGGTTAATGTTGGGTTAGGGGAGGGGTGGGTGGGCATTGCTCAGATAATGACATTGATCTACCATATTACTGTGAATTCCTTGAAAATGGGGTATTTGTTTAATCTATAAAATGAAGACATTGATAAAGTTGGGTAAATATTTTTGGATTGGATCCTAATATATTTAGCAGTTATCTTTTCAATATGTGACTGAAGTTGGAAACTGGCCATGATACAAAATGCTGTAATAAGCAACAGACTTTGAATGAACTTTGTAAAGAGTTTTTGAGATAAACTGCGTTGAAGACCTGCTATTTCAGGAAAGCAGTATATATTTTACTCAATCCGTCCTTTGTAATTTTTTAACATCTGACCATTGCCATCACTGTTCATTATCAAGAATAAAGTTTTTCAGAATTGATGTTGTGTATGTATGTATGTATGTATGTATGTAATAATGTATCTGTATACTTAATGGACCAGTCCCTCAATGGGGCTTTTCAGCGCCAATACGAATGAATGAATAATTGAAAAAAAGTGTGTAAAAATCCCAACTGGTAGGAGACAAACCAATTGCCTCTGTACAAAGCGGCCAAGAAGTTGAAGTTGAGGCGAACGAGAACTACAGCAGGGTAGAAGGCTTAGACCTGGGACCACCAACAACACCAGGGTCCTAACCACGCAGCCACACTGACGTTGTTTCCTTAGTGCAAAAATCTTTTAATGCGCAGTTTATATGAAAGACGCGCCGGAATTTTAATTAAAAAGTATTGTGATGGAGTTATTAGCCTGTGTCAGGCTTTTGTTCAGAGGAAATGAGGTAAAAAAAAAAATGACGATTGAAAGGGCATGGGTCAGGAAAATGGTTGGAAAATCCTCCCTTTTCGCCTGAAGGTCTCACAAATTTGATAATTGCCTTAATTTTTTATAATGAAAGGCTCCACTTCATTTTTTTCGTTTGCAGTCGTTCAAATGCGAAAATGTATTCTGACTGCGGACGTTAGTGTATATTGATTTCATCGACTCAAATCAAAGTATGATTTTTCTGATTCGCGCTACCATCAACGATTCAAAATCGGGTTAAAACTTTAAGGTGGAAGCGAATAGTGTTTTCCAAGCTTTTGGGCCCTGTTGGATAAAAAAAGCCTTACTGAATGCTGAGAAGGCTACGCTAGGTCGGGAAATAAGTTATCTTTCAACAGAGAACCAGCAGAACCCACCTAAAAAAAAGTTCAAATTTACCAGAACTCACGAAATAGGCTATCACTTCTTTATTGATTCAATAAACTTAATAATTAAGTTAAATTAATTTTGTACAGCTTCACCAATGTAGCTTTATAAGTATTTAATACTATATTTAAGTTGTTGGAGTAGAATGTCTCCTAAATACAAGCTTGAATCGCTGATAAGTCATTGGTCAGGGAAATATCTAATGCATTTCTCTATAAACCTGAATGAAAAAAGCAGAAATTTGCGGAAGATATTTAAAAGGCGACAGCTTTGAGCATTGTAAACCTTCTTTCTTACAGCTTAATGAATGAAATAAAAGATTGTAATATCTAAAGAGCACTGAGAATACACGAAAACTGTCGAACGATAATTCTTTCCTCCAAGATAAAAAAATTAATCGTTATGCTTTGTTTTTTTTTTTCAGTGGTCGGTGGTTAATTTAATTGTGATGTACTTAGAAATGCCATTTTTATTCTAAACATACCATTGGAATACAGCGAAAATAGCGGTGATAATTATTTTTATACCATGTGAGATATTTACCATTGGAATACAGTGGAAATATCTAAAACTAGTTTCTGCTAAAACAGGATAACGTCGAAGGCGCACTCTAATTGCCTACTCAAATAATTTCCTTTGCTACTCAATTCTGAGCAACGCGCGCGGGATTTGTGCCCAAAAAAATTGTAATCGTTGCAGGAATAAAGGAGTTAAAATAATATTTTCCAGCTATACTATCTCACTGTTTAAGTATAAAAATAATTATCCACGCCTCTTTCAATTATAGCGATAATGCAGTTCTGCTATCATAGTTAAACCTATTCCCGTATTCCCAAAAACTTGGGTCCGTACTTCGTGTTAAACAATCCGATCTATTTCCAAAATGGTGAATACAGCGCCCGAGGAGCAAAGGTTCGATGTGCCAGCCAATCAGGCCCGCAGTCAGAATACCAGCGGTCTCTAAGATAGACGCAAGCGTGATAGTGAATATGACGTGCTGCGAGAGGAACCTTCTCGCAATGATGTGGTACGAGTTCGAGAAGATCATCCCACAAATTGTGCCCTGAATGAAGCACAACAGCCAAATAATCCACACCTCTGGAACTAGTCGGTACCAGGTCGCTAGTAAAAGGAAAATGGTCTGGGCAAGAGGAAAAATCGCGAGCACTGAGGCTGAAATGCAGAAAAATCCTGGCGCGACGGCGCGAAGCATGGAAATAAAAGTTCGACCAAGGAACTCTCCAACCATGGTGCTCAGAACATAGTGCTCAAAATGTCCCCTAGGAACAAATTCTGGACCCACGCCTGTCCCTTCAAATACTAGCGTCGTCAGGATTGCCGAAAGGACAATATATTCTCCAAAATAAACCAAGAACAAAACCAACAAATGAGGGCAAGACTTCAAAACCGACAGAGATCTTTCTCTCCAGCGTGGAGTTAAACGACAGTCAACTTCAAAGTTTCGCCGTTCAAACCGTGATATTGACCCAGAAGTTTGTGAATTGCAGACGAGATGAAGATTTCCGCGTGAAACTGTGAACAAAAGGAGAAACAACGGCGGCCATATAGCGGACACCAATATGGCTGTTCTTGGGTCTACTGTGGCCCAGACTGTCAAGCCTGTGAAAAAACCCGAAACATTCAATTAAATTCATGGTGATCACAAGAGCCAATCAGAACAGAGGTGAATTTCTTAAGATGACTATGAGAACTCATTACGAACACGAGCGAAGTGAACAAAGCGCGGGAATTCCAGTGGATCGCGATTTGTTTAAGTTTTACATCTGCTTGGTGGAGAAGATGGCGCGGGTTTTCTAGACCAATCACAGAACGCATTAAAGCTAGGCCAATGGAATATCGTAAGATTTATCGCGACAGATATTCTCTATGCATATCTGACGCAGATGCTCCCACATTTTGCCCGTTGGTTGATCCATGGGTTCCCTGTCGTCCATTTGTGGAGCATTTGATTGGTTATCTTAGGCTATGAAATTCAAATTCCCAGAAACCACTTTGAAATATTTGGATCATCATACAAATAACATCATTTTACGCGCTGAGCTTTGTATCAAATCTGTTTTTTTGCGTTTTTTTATGCGACTGTAATACGCCAACAATTTACATTGTTGTATCAGGTTTGTACGGTGTAGCTGAGTTGAATATTTACAAGCAGGAAAAACCGAAAATTTCTAGCACAGATGAAACAAAGCGCAAATGGGGTCTAGAATATTTACAAACAGGAAAAAACGAAAATTTCCAGCGCAAAGTGAAGACTTTATTCTTTGTGGTAAAGCAACAATAAAAACAGTTTTTGGAGGGCAATGATCAAGAATTACATATGTGGCTCCTGGGAAATGTGAATTTTTATTGTGTTTAATTCACATGAGGACAAAAAGCATAGTCTTCGCGCAAATAAAGAAACTAAATGTTTTTCTACACGGTTATCTGTGGGACAAATTGATTATAAAGTTTCTTTTTCTTATGGCGGATAAATGTGTTTGCTACTGTTTCGTTGTTGCGTAAAAATTTAAGGAAGTTGAAATTCGTGTCTACGTGAAGCGATATAATGAAACTTGATGAATCTAATTTTGACGTATTAATTCCTTTTTTTTTCGGTGGGGTGTTATAAATCGTATTTTCAGTCGATTTCTTAGTATTTTAGCCGTATCTTGATTTTTTTGTCTTCTCACAAAAAAGTCAGATTAGTTTGGATAGAAAATAGATCAATCCCGGTGAATATCTTGGAAGTCGATCGACTGAAATTTTCTTTTGTAACGGGAAGCCTTTGAGGGGGCCTCTATTGAATTAATTAGCGGTTAACTGAAGAATTTTCCGCGAAATAAAAGGAATTTTGCGGTAACAGGAAGGGCTGTACTTTACAAATGCATATGCCACACATTTCAGGAGAAATTAACGTGATATAGAGACCTCATTTATATGAGCGATCAAAATGTATAGCTTGAATCATTTCATGATTCTTGCCGTACAGGGTGTACTTAAATTACTGTTGCGTTTAGCCCGCGAGCAAGATATCAGCCCACATCTCTCTTATAAATCACAAGCGTCATCTATCGTGAGAGCTCATTGTTATCATTAAGTAGGCTATTTGCAAGGGCAGTCTTCGGTCGGGATTCACGTTACCCGTTATAAGACTTCATGATATTATTTACACAAAGTACTGGGGTTTTACTATAAGATTTACAATTTAACTAAAAGAATAATTGATTATATTTTGATTGTTTTTTTTTTTTTTCGATAAATGCCTCAAAGCCTTTTCCTGGTATATTTACAAACAGGAAAAAGTTAAACTTTCCTACGCAGTGAGAACAATCTAGTCAATATTATATAGTAAAGCAGCATTGTAAACAACTTTGTTCTAAAAGTTTTGCAGAACTACCAAGATATCCACTATGAAAAGAAATAAATTGTGGTATTTTCGAGAAGATGAGAAATTTTTTATTTAGTGACGAGATAAAATATTCGCAGCTCTTGAGATCACTTTATACAACAAACACGCATATGATATCATAATATGTTAGAACACGTACATTAACGAAAAATATGAAATATCTACAGTTCTCAAATGTAACCTTTTTTGTAACTTACCCACGTAAGAGGCAGCACCTAGAACTGCACCAGCTCCGGTTCCTATTATAAACGAACATAGGGCAGCTTCTTCCAGCATTTTTGCAGCTTGCATGAGAAGACAAACTTCTCCAATTCCTGTTCCAACAGAAACCAAACAAACTCCCACTATGCGACCTTCAAGGTTGGAAATGAACACTGTACACAACTGCCCTGCGAGGACAAATGTGGCCGTGAAGAAAACGCGAGCGACGTACGACACTTGATGAAAACACAGCGACACTACCTTGAGAATGCACGAAGGAGCTGTTAACGATATAATCACCAATCCTGTTGGTTTATTAGTTCCTGCTAACACATCTTCAGCCGCACAAACGAATGTGGTGAAGGGCACTATCAGAGAAACTCCGAGAATAAAGAAAACTAGCGAAAATCTGGATGTTCTTTCGACTCGTGGCCATTTGTGAAATTCATCTTCGTCTGTATCAGAAGCAGAACTGCTGTAGAGGTTTTCATCGCTCATTTCGGACATCATTTTGAGGTCCACTTATTTTGAAATTACCTCATCTGCTGGGTTCTACCTTGGGAGAGGCTCAGCTGAAAAAAGGCGTGAATATCATCACTGAAAGGGACACAGCAGAGATTACGGAAAAAATATTGAGCGAGCTTTGTCGCTAGTAGGCAAATATTTAGAGGAATTTGCATGGCGTGTTGAATTAAAGAGTGGCAGTACCCATGAGATTTAAATTCTATTGAAGAGAAGTGACGCGTAACCTGACCGGCGCACAAGATTGGCTGCCTAGGGGTTCGAGAATGGCGGATGAGTGGTGCAAGATAAACGGCAAATTTGTCACGTTTGAGTGAATAGGCCTCTTTGTATTCAAAAGACAGATACGTCAATGTAAACAGGGAAAAGTTTGACTGAATTAAAAGGAAGACAGTCTCGACCCACAAAGGAAAGAAACTGATTTATTCATGATCCCATGAAAAGATAAATTGATAATGGACTTCAAAACATTTGAAAAGAGTTGATTCGTCGCATCAGTCAAAGGACGTCGCGCCCCATAAAGACGACTAGGAAAGAATAATTATTCTATGCCTGACAACTCGTCTGACAGACTCCAATCTCGCCCCCAAGCTCTCTCTTAAAGCAAAAATAATTCAAAGGTAATAAACAACATTTATCAATCAATCACCGACAGTGAGGTGAATAGTTGTTTTAACAGATACTAAACAGAAACCAAAAAATTGGTTTAATTCTATAAATGTACCGAAAAATGGTCGGAAATTATAGTCTTGACTCGTGATTTCATTTCTTCGTCTGCTCTGAGGTGAATAGTTATTGCCCATCACTTCCAAAGTAGCCGATCAGCGCGCGCTACAAGCACCACATACCTGTGGGGTTTATATAACTAGTCGACCAATCAAATTACGCCAAGCTTTGTAGTCCACCGGATGTCAGCATTTATAAGTTACGATTGTTTCCTGCACGGGAAAGAAAGCCTCTGTGCGACTTAAGGCTCAAAACACGAATTTCCGTCGGCCTGGGATATGAGTGAATTAAAAATCATGATAATACTCATGCATTATGGAAGCTGTAATGGTGCAAAATTCAAAAATTGCTGCCTACATCAACATTTACTATCTAGGTCACAGGCGACCCAAGCTCACGTCTCGAGTAAAAGTCAACGATTAGTTCATGAATGCGTCACGCGTTGTGTCTGATTGCTCGATCAGGACAATAGATTAAGGCGAGGTGTCTCTGTGGGAATGGGGCAAGTATTGTACATTAATCGACCGTACCACTCGCGGTAGAGAGAAAATTGACCTCGTACCCAAGTCTCTTCCGCGGCCGTGTCCAGTCTGATTGTCTAGAGCATAGCCAGAGAGGAGCGAACTTGGAAATGCAGGTAGAAAACGCTCGTTTCCGGCGAAATGCGTGGGGAGTTTGGTATTGAGACAAGTCCCAGGGTGAAATCATCTCAGATTGTAAACTATAGCTGTGGAAAATGCCAATCGGGAGGATTTTCGGGGCGCAAACCACCTCCGCGTGGACAACAGTCGAAATCGGAATGTGCAGCCTTGACTTTGTTTTTTGACAGGAATAACAGTGACGGTAAAGCAAGCTTAAAACGGTAGAAATCGCCAGAAATTACAACAGACACACAGGATGTGAGTAAGTTTTATCGATTTACCTGTAAATGTTCATATTTCGAAATGTTTATAGTTGTAAATCGACCATTGTTCGTTCCCCATACCATTCCTTATAAGGTGTTAAATTTTCAAAAGTTCCTCTCGTAACTCAACACCAAGTCACTCACTATTGTTTTCTTATTTCCCGTTGTAATGTAATTCTATTGATTCGATGAAATTCTATACATCCCCAGACGTGAGCTTGGGTTACCTGTGTTTAGGTCAACGACAAAATTTGTCCAACTTCATCAGCTAATATCAATATTAACACTCCAAACACACTAAATCCAAAAAGGAAAGTAACTCAACGTTAACACAAATTCACCTAGTCTGCAACCCTAGCGAATCCCGTCAAAACCAACATGCCATAGAGCTTCAATTTCAACAACAGACAACATGATCTCGAGACCGAAATAACGATTATCGTTATTTCTTAATTGGCCCCAAGTTTATGGATATAGTAATTTCGTGGCATGCGCACGAAGAGACCTGTGTTCTAGGTGTAGCGGAGGCGGTGGCATGAGTAATTTATTCAAGAATGGCTGACACGTCCGGTAAGTGAATTTGGCTTTTGTCCTCGTCTCTTTTCGGGTCAAAGAATCAATATAAAGGTCACGGCTGGGGGAAGAACTAGTTATGACCTCGGACTAGTGCTACAAAGCTTTGTGAGCCAAAGAGGTCACCTTTTAGCGAAATATTCGGGGGTATTTCGAAACTGTTTGGTGAGGGCCGTATCCTTCGAACGCAGTTCATGTGCTTCAGCTGGCACCGTTCAGATCATTTTTTGAGGGGTAGAATAAATAGAGCTTAGGTGGAGGTATGGGTTATGTTCACATGGAATGTCTTTTTAATTGTAAGTTGTCTTACTTTCGCTATTACCTCTAGAGAAAAGGACTTTTAATTGCGCTTAAGTTGTTTTATATGTGTGCGTAGGAGATACTGTAGTCCTCACTTTCCAAAGACGACTATTTCAGCTAAGAAAAATAGAAACTCAAAGTAGTGCAATGCAGTTAGAGTGAATAGCTAACCTTTTTGCGTGTATCATCGGTCTGTGGTGTCCTTCATAAATGGATAATATCCGTTACATTACTTTCATCAAACCTTGTGTTGTAAGGGTGAAAGTCGACTGAACGACATCTAAGAGATGTCAAGGTGTTTTAGGGCCCAATTGGCGAGTTTGCGCGAATGATGCCGTAATGTTAAGGAAATATCTAGTATACTGGTTACCCTAAAACACCGCAAAATAATAAACGCCTCTTACAAGCAGTCTACAAAAACAGTGCGGAATAAATCCTATGTGTATCAAATTTCTGTATGGGATTTTTTTCAAATTTTCGCATTGCCAGGTCAAATTCCAGTTTTTTTCCATGGTTTTGGAAATATTTTTTTTCCGACATTTGCTTAATCACCTTAATATTTGCATGGTAATGCCTTGATTTTTGTTTACATGGTTCTCTCCAGCTTGTAATTGGAAGCAAATCTCTCAGCCTTTTGTCTCGACTTGTGCTCGTAGATTATTTTTTACAGAATAAAATAAAAGATATGTGGCAAAGAATTGTACAAGTTTTATTTGTAGAAAATCATGGGATAAGTGATTCAATTAGGAATGAATTCAGCTGCTGCTGTTTACATATGGTAATTAATTAATCATCCAATGACTTTAACTGTTCAGAGGGCTTGTGTTTCTTGTTTTTGAACTGTTTCTTCCTAGGGATTTGAATTTAATATGTCAAAAATATTTGAAATATTAGAGTGCATCTAATCGGGTTTTACAATAATTTACATTGTATGTTACACCCCAAATCTATCTCTTAGGCATTTCTTGTTCACACATTTAGATCAGTCTGAAAGTTCTAGCAATTGTGCAACTCCCAAAGTGTCAAATGAGTTGTTAACTACGGCCCCATTTACTCTCAGCAATGCAGGTTTGTTTTGTTCTTGTTTGTTTCCTTGTTTCTACTTTTGTTTAGTTTGTTTAAGGTTCCCTTTTTTGGTTCCTATTGAGCACCACTTACACATTAAGTTCAATATAACTACCTGATACTCAAATACCAAGTCTGAAAGTGAAGAAGTTGGAGCACTAGATAGAGGGCAAGACATAACAGCTGGGGCAGCAGTGGAATCCAGTTCAAATAATGGTTTGTAATGTTTGTTTGTATGCACTGAAACAACTTATGCAAAAGTATCTACAAAGGTAACATTTTAGGATTAAGTTTTTATTAAAAATTATAGGTGATAATTCAGTGTTAGCATGTATATTGAATTTTGCTATCATACCACAGATCCATGAAATCTTCAAATTGATGTCCCATTAAAGATAATTAAGATAACAAATTATAACCAAGTGGACTCAGAAAAGGTCACTATGCTACTCATTTTGTTTCATAATATTAGTACAGAGTTCAAGGTGCACTGTCAGTTGTAGTTTGGGAAGCTAGGGAAACAAAAGAGTCAATGGTAGTAAAAGGTTTAAAAATTCAATTTTGTTCTTACATTCAGAGAACATTTCACAGGCATTGCATGTTTGGCTGCAAAATCGTCCTTTTTCTGTGTAACAAGATTTGAGTATGCACCATAAATAGCCTATTAAGAAAACCCATCATTTGATTTGCCAAGATATCCAATTAGGTCAAAGGGAAGTGTAAGGGCACTTTTGGTAATTTGAAGAATCCAGAAAAAGGTAACACCTGCTTTACTGATGTTGTAAACTGGGGTTAGTTTCATTTGCAATGCAAGCCACTTTTTAGCTTGTTTTTGTTATGTTGTTTCTTTTTTTTTTCTGGTTTTTGTTTGAGCACCACGTATTGATTTGGAACAGTCTAATTTACTTGATTCTCAGATACAGAGTCTGAAAGTACAGAAGGTGGAACACCAGACAGAGAGCAAGACAGAATGGTTGGGGCAGCATTAGCTTCCAGTTCACAAAATAATGGTTTGTTTCAATTGTTTGTTTTTCTTCATCGTAGCAAATTAAGTACAAGTCACAATAAATGCATAGCAGTATTGTTTTGTAAGTCTTTCTGATGTTTTCAGCAAAAACTATAATTTTCTTCAAGACCTGTGTACATGTACATGTACATGTACATGTTAAGTTGATCTAGTAAATAGTTTGTTATGAAATCCCTGTTGGCTGCATATTAATTTTTTATCTTATATTCTGTTTTCTCCATTTCAACAGTGATGGTGGTGTACAGACGTGACTCAGTTGTCATGGCAGCTGGCCATTTAGAGGAACATCGAAGAGAAATTCATGGCAAGAGAGTACCAACAGATCACGTTTGTGTACTGTTAACAGCAGCAAAATCTAATGTTATGGCATCATTTATTGCTAGCGATCCAGATGAAAACTCTTTTTTGGAGAAAGGAAAGTTTTTTGCTTTTCCTAAACAATTTATATACCGAGCAAGTCTTCTGAATGGATCACTTCAGTTGGCACCATATAATGCTACACCTTAAAGGGACAGGAAGGGCTAATAATGATCAATTTTTGTGTCAAATTGAGGATCCAAA